GTGTCTTAAGCATTCTTATCCTATGTAATTAAAAAAGCAACTGTCTAATGACTTTTATCAACAATTAAAACTCCATCGCTGAAGCAGCCATTTCAGATTTTTAAATTGTTGAGGGTTACATGAAAGTCTTATTATACTGCATGTGAGTTCTTGTGTACTTGTAGAATCAGAATCAGTTTTATTGGCAACTGGGTGTTTTTGGCAGTAAACAGTAAACACTGACTTTTAAAGAAGGATAAAAGATTGAAAAAACAAGTGTTAAAGTTAATAAACTGCGTTACAAGTCAAATAAACAGCAAGTGTAACAAATTCTACACGTCAGTGTTGCCTGCGTATGCAAGTAATAGGAGCAAGTGAGCAAAAAAAACCCAAACTATTTAGCCGACAGTAATTTGTTGGGAAGTTGGGAGGGAGTAATGGTCTCAGTTGTCTGGTTCTACCACTGAGCACCTCAAAAATGCCAAGAATACTATATTCCTGTGCAATACTTCATACCCTAAAGAGATCCTTCCCCAAAGAGATTCCATTCTAAGTGACAAAAATCAGTCCTTGTTCTCAGTTAAAATACGCTCTACAGTAGCTACAAGTACTGTATAGTTTTACTGCAGTGCTGCAACCAATGCCTATTTTTATTATCAGGTAATCTGTTGATTATTTCTGCCATTAGTCACTTAATCATTGAGTCAATGAAACAACAGAATAGTGACATCCTGCAGTCTACAGTGATGTCCTCAAATGTCTTTTTTTCCCCCAACGGACAATCCAAAGCCCCCAAATATTAAATTCAAAGTCATATAAGACCAAGAAAAGCCGCAAATTCTCTCTTTTGCCAGTGAATGTTTTACAGTCTTTTCCTTAAAGTATTTCATCTTTTTAAAGTAGTTGCCAATTAATTATCTGTTAATCATCTACCTGATTAATTGACTGCAGTTCTATTTTTTCCTCCCTTTTCCATTGACAGTGCTTGTTTGCTGACTCACGACAGAGAACAGTGTCACCAAGTAGACTGTGATCTGTTTGAAGACCAATAAGGCTTTCAAAGTGCATGTTGACATGTGAACCTAAATAGGTGTTAAAATTCCTCTGCCTGTGGCAGACATTTTAAGTTCTAACCTAAATGTGCATAGTTTGTGTTTAAAACACTCTTTGGTGAAGGTACATGAATGCATACCAGTGTGTTTTCTCTGAGGAATAAGAAATAGTTAATAATAAATATGCACACTGCAATAAAGTCACAATCATTAAACTCTGCAATGCAAATGGCTAACAGTCACAGAAGACAGATGAAAGCAATAACCCAAGACAGGAAACAACAATGTCTGCTTGTGAAGCAATAGTGTTACTTCTTGTTTTACAATTGTGATAAAATCAATTTTAAAACGTTTATGTGACACATGAGACTAAAACCAGTCACTGTCTGAGTAACATCTGTAACACAGAAATGTCTAGTTAATGTGCTTGCCTGGCCCGTGAGCCAGAAATGTTTTCTAGCTTCCAGGTTTACTTCCAGCCAACAGTACGTGTACATCAGTGTTTGTCCTGCTGGCCCTGCCCACATGCTCCCTCTCGGCTGATAGACTATACATCGGGACGCGCTGGCTCCAAAAAACTCTCTTTTCTGTTTTTCAAATATGAAGCCTGTGTGGATTAAATAGTCATAACTAAAGAGTGCTATTTTAGTTTAGAATGTTGGTTTATGGATAAAACGCTTTTTGGTGTCTCTGTTGCCTTTTGGCAAATGGCTACTGGGAAAAAATAAGAGCAAGAATGAGTGACAGTACTGTATTGAGCTCTCCTAATACATCTATGATCTGTCTGGATGGTTTTATTACGATAGCTGACTGGTGAAAATGAATGTATGATTTTAAAAATGTCTTCACATCTACAAATTAATTAGGATACATTATACAACTATTTGAACATATTTAAGCCTCACAGTTGGACAGATAATTTCACGGAAAACACCGTCAGCAAGAAAAGAGTGGACAAAGCTCAGTGTGCATGAACGCTGTTGTGTATTCAATTGTAGACTAGCTGTGATTGCTCTGTCAGTGTCTAGTAACTGATAAAGCATCAGCTCACTGAGGCAGCTCTTTGAGACAAGTGATACACATAAAAAGTCCTGACCAACTCTGGGTGCCACAGGTTTTAATACACTGTGCTGTTGACAATTATGTTCCTAACATTTCTGAACATTTTTCCATCCCTGCAGTATAAGTCAAAAAATGTGTTCCTTTACCCAGATTGCCACAGAGCATTTCCCTCTCTCATTCAGGAATACGTATCATGCAGCGTGAAGGCGGTCTAATTTCCTCACACACCCACGATAGCTGATTTTGGAATGAAATGTTTCATCAGATTCCATCAGTTTGCGAAATGTCCTCGAACATCTGTTTATTAAAACAAAAAATCACCTGACATTGAGCTGTCAAGTAGAGGTCAGTTGGTATAGTTACGGCCAATTCTGATGCCATTTACCAGTAATCAAATAGATCAGCAAGCATTATTTGAAACAGATAAATGTTTGCAGGAAAAATGAAAATGATTTAAAGTAACAGAAACACCAATAGAGCACTAAGTTGAAATTTCCTGTGTTTGTTAATTACGTATGTTCATGTAACTGATCAAATAGTACTGTGGAGGGGCATTCCTTTAGACCAGAGTGGCCACACTTAGGGAGAGCTGGCTGCATTATAACCAAAGTGGCACAATTTTAACTTAATGGAAAAAAAATAAAAAATAAAACATTTCATTTATTTATTCATTTTAAAAAAAATAAAAAATTAGGATACCAATAAACGGAAAAATGCTGAATGCCTGATTCAGTAATCGTCCAGGCTTTATACCCCACTGCCGATATGTTTTCTGGGTTTCAGTTATCCAAGTTTTAAAAGTCCCTTCAGGAAGTTAATGTACTGGAATATTGTTTTGTTTTTTTCATAATCTACACTATAACTGAACCAGCAGCGGCACTGTGCAGCAAATTAGCATTTTATCACTAAACCAAAACTACAACACTGGTCTTTACTGAACATGAAAAGGGGAAAACCTGAGACATGATGTAATTGCCTGTGGAAAAAACCTAATGCTAATAAAATTATTGTGTGGGCTTCTAAGAGGGTCTTATCCACGTATCATCATTCTACATACGCCGATATATTAAATGTCTGATTGGCAGGTGAAGCGAAAAGTAGATGGTTAATAGAAAGAAAATATTGGCTCTGTAGTTCAGGCATCCATCCTCATCCCTGCTGCCTTGTCCCTGCTCTTTGTTTTCATATTTCATTAGCAGGGCTAGCAGCTTGTACCATCAGCTTCAATTATCCTCCCTGTCAGCGGACCGCCAGTGCCTGTCTGCTGGCCTTAGTGATTACAGGCTTCAGGGGACAGGTAATCAGGTCATGGTTACACTGTCTCCCTGTCAGACTGCTTAGACCACAGGGAGCATATGCGATGAAAGAACTCTCCCATCTTCAACTAGTTATCCCTGACCAAGGTTAGATATCCTGGATGCTGTTCAGTTGGGAACACATATACAGGATTTTCATTTTGTTGGTAAAAACTGTATCACATTATTCTACGGATTAGTTAGCATTCAGACTGTCATGTTTCTATAAAGAGCCAATAATGCAGCCATAGTTGGTATGTACTGTATGTGCCTTTGTTGTTGCCCATGTACAACTATTTAGACCACTTCACCTTTATACACATTTTTTAGATGCTGCAGCCTTATGCTAAAACTCTTTAAATTATTTTTTCTGCCCTCACCAATTTGTACTTAACACCACATAATAACAATGTGAAAACAGAATTTAGAAATGTTTGCAAGTTTACCAGAAAGTTAAAATTCAAGTTATTCAGACCCTTGACCCTTTACTTGGCAACAATTACAGCCTTTAGGTGTCTTAGCTCTGATGTGACACGCTTTGCACACCTGGATTTGGGGCTTTTCTGTCAGTCTTCTCTGCAGATCCTCCGAAGCTGCGGGAGGTTAAGTGGGACAGATGGACAGGGACTTTCAGGACATTCTGGAAATGTTCGACTGGGCTCAAGTCAGGGCTCTAGCTTGGGGAAATTCACAGAGTTCACCTTTAGCCCCTGCAACATTGTTGTGGCTATGTGCTTAGGGTTATTGTCCTGTGGGAAGGGAAATCGTGGAGGTGGTTTTCATTAAAGATATGTCCCTGCCCCTACTTCTGAAAAACACCCCCATAGCATGATGCTTCCACCACCTTGCTTCACTGTTGGGATTGTGTTGATCAGGTGAGAATGGAGGCGAGGGGTCTTTCACGTATCATTCCCAGAGGAGAGGCTTCTGTCTGACCACGATGGCATAAAGCCCAGATCACTGGAGGGCTGCAGTGGCATACAAGATCTTTGGAAGGCATTCAGAGTGACCATCAGGCGTTATTACTAAGTCTGTTCTCTTGACTGGGCAGCCATATGTAAGAGGAGTCTTGGTTGTTCAAACATCTTCTGTTTAAGAATTATGGAGGCTACTGTGCTCTTAGAAACTTTCAGTACAGCAGAAAATGTTAGTAGGCTTCCTCATCTTACCAAAGTGGACAGTCAAAGTACAGAAACAAGTCAGAGATAATAAAGAGAAATGGGAGGCACATGAGCTAAATTTTAAGTGTTATAGCAAAGGGTTTAAACACATGTCAATGGGATATTTCAGTTTTTCCCTTTTATTAAAGTCACAAGAATTTCAAAATTTCTGTTTTCATTTTTCAGTAAGGGATATGGAATGTAGACTGATGAGAATAAAATGATTTAAATGAATGTAGCAAAAGGCTACAATAAACTATGAAAGAATTGAAGGGGTGAGATAACTTTCTGAATGCGCTGTGTGCAAATGTAAATACTACTGACAGCTTAGCTTTTTAGCTGCACTGTTTTCATCTAAAACCCACTGCATGCTACCTCCGGAGCACCCAGCTGGTGACCGTAGTGGAGTAGCTGATAAAGAACCACATATTTCCCTTTTGAGTTGGTGGAGACCAAAAACAGAGCTAAAAACTTGCTTTCATCGAGTTGCCGGACACTTTACTCCAAATCAACTTTGTTCCTCCATAACTGCTGAATGTGAACATAATGGTTGTAAACAAGTTGGTCATGTGAACTTAAATATTCATATGTCAGTGTTGTTCTTCCAACTTGTTTCTATTGCTCCTAAAAGGGCAGAAAGTTATTGCACAGGTGTTTTTTAGACAACTTAAAACCTGTAATGTTGAACTAAAGACAGACAAAACTTTATTTATCCTAAAAGAAATTCTTTGAGAAAAAATAACAATGTGTTAAACTCATATACTTGATTGAATTAGGACTTTAGTGGGAGGTACTGTATTATTAAAAGCACATCACATCGTGTGTTATCTATTATAACATGTTTGCCATGGATTGATGGTAATTGCACAATTGCATTACTTCATTATTTGAAGAGGATGATGTATTGGAAATCTTACTCATAGAATACTGGAGGCAACTTGAAAACTTGGAAGCCACTGCAAGAGTCATTTATCTGCCCAAGATAATTGTGATTGGTTTAACGAAATACAACCAAGCCAGGGTGCTATTTCTCGCTATAGCATTCTGTGCTGCAGAATGGTCTGGCTTTGCAGAACTACTGGTACTGCATCTTCAACCAGCTAACTTAAGCTGGCACGGTTGATTCAGCTGTACTGCTGCTGTTTGCTGCTCATGCTCACTATTCAGGACTCGCTGTGATTCACTACACATCATGCTTAGTGTTTCTCAATTTTTGTGGAGATTTCCCCTCACAATGACAATCTTTTTTAGTTGATAATAGCACATAATAGCTAAGAAATGAAGAATGATACACCATTAGTGGCTCAGTTTGTAATAGAGAGCATAAGATGCAGATGGAGAACCCTCAGAGAACCCATGCTGCACGGGGAGAACATGCAAACTCCACGCAGAAAGATCCCGAGTGTCCTCACCGGGACGCGAACCTTCTTGCTGCGAGGCAACAGTGCTAACCACCGGGCCACCTTGCAGCCCATCCAATAAATAAAAGCAATTCAATAAAGAAGTGTTTGCATATCTGGATCAGCAGTTCAGCATTCTGACAGCTTGTGGAATACCTTACAAAAAGTAAAAAGAAAAAGTCAGTTTCTTTTTCTTTTTTTTTTTTTTCTTTTTTCTTTAAATGCAGGTATGGATATTGTCAACCCTGTCAGTCAGTTAGGATCCCTTGTGTGACTGCATGGACTCCATGTGTTCCCCAGTGGTATTTCCTTTCCCTCCTACTTTCTCCAATGATAGAATATTTTGAGTCTTGTGGTAAACAGAAATAGCAACACTTCTGAGGAACAGGCTTCTCTTTTTGCACCACACACTAAAGAAATAGAGGCTGCACTGTGTGTGTGTGTGTGTGTGTGTGCGTGCGCGAGTGCGTGCGTGTGCATGTTTTTATTGAGAAGCTATTTTGAGTTCTCCGTGACTGACTGACTGACTAAAGTTTTTTCTAGTCACTTACATGGCCTGCTTTAGTGGACCTGAGCCAGTGCAATCTGCTCCACTGTGGACTAATACATTTCTTTTCCACTTTGATTAGCTGTGGCAATGACTAGTTAAACCTAAACCATGCTGTATCACACAGCAGAAAAGATGAGAGATTTAGCGGACTCTTCTTCTGTTAAAGCTGTTCTGTTAAAGCTTTTACACAGAGTGTTCCTCCCTCATCTGTGATGTGATTAAACAGACATCATATCTGTTTTGGAAAAACCCTGCTCAGTGAAGGTTTCATCACATCCAGCAAAATGCCTTCATTCATTACAGATGGGTTTCACACAAACTCTTGTGTACATGTGTCTGTGAGAGTTACGTGTCATTTGAGGAGAAAAGCAGTTTGTTTTAAATCAAAGAAGCGCTCTAAAGATTTCAACTCCAGAACAAAACAACTGGAAAATCACTTCAGCCTAAATTAAATTTTACAAGCCACTTTTACTACTTAACTTGACCATTACCAGCAAATACCAACAGAAGAAACTGAAACTCTTTTCACCTTTGCTCTCTTTCAGAATCTCGTATCTAAGCAGAGGAATTGCTGTGCCATCTTTTCTGTATCTGTGCTCAAAGTTAGAGGCTGAAGAAGAGCTCCTTCACCATTCAAGGTAAAATCTGTTACATTCCCATTAAATCACTGAATGCCTTTTATCCATGCTCGCAGAGGTTTGAGGAATAACAATACTGGTCTGTCAGTTCACCACTCTGGTTCCAGGCTGTAATATGTCATAAACTACTGGATCACTCAAAGGTTTGGTACAGACATTCATGGCATGAAATATAGACAGGCATTTGTATCCCACTCAGGGTGAATTGTGATCTACTTTACACGGTCAAAATCTTTATTTGAAGAAAAGAAAATAGCCATTTTTAATAACTGAACATGTTCATGGAAAAATCCCATTAAAGCCTGTCTCTTAGGGTGTGTGCAGATAATTACAACAATTTATTTATTTTTTCATACTCTAAAAGGGTGATCTCAGTTAATAAAAAAAAAAAAGAAAATGAATGCTGAATGGTTTACAGAACATTTACTAAAATGTTGGACTTGATTATGCAACTCTGGTTCTCCTGATTGACATTACTTGTACACAGTACAATATGGGTCAAGGGAAAAATAAAATGTGTTTTAGGGCCATCTTTGTAAGGACAAAATATTGAAAACATGTTTATTGTTTGTTCAGCAATATCCTCTACTCTGCCCTGCTCTCCACTTGCTGGGGTTTCTGGAAGAATTCCTAATCTATTGGACTTGAGAAGTCTTCCTGCGGGGTCACCCCAGTAATCAGGCCTGAGCCAGACCTTCCAAACCAGCCAAACCTCTGGCTGCCTGCCGTCTGACTGCTGGGCCACACACCCGCACGTTTGATGCTAAAAATGCTGCAGAGGGGCTCAAAAACTACACTCAGTAAATACAGAAATCAAATAAAACAATTTCCAAATATTAACCTTGCAATCTACTTTCCAACAGTAATGTTGGGTCAATGGCAGTGTGGCTTGGCTTAATTAAACTCAGTGTTGATTTGCAAGGATAGGGTCCAGACCAGAGAGTGGTTTGGCCTTGCTCAGAGCTATGACACTGTTCTTAATGGTGCCAACACTTCATTAATGCTGGCTGTACATGAAGACGCTCTCACTCCATGCTGAGTTAATGACTAGGTTATATCAGCAACCTCCACACACTCTGTTCAAGAGTGTGTTTTACTTGGAGGGCCTCCGACTTTTAGGGTTTTTCCACTAGCCTGGGTTGGCCTGCTTTAGACGTTCTTTGCCACGACATGCTGCACCAAACTGTGAGGATGAGCGTTTCCAGTGGCACGGCTTAAGTAGCAGAAATGCCACATTCTTTTCCTGTCCTCAGTGAATACAAACTATGTTGGAGATGAGGAAAAAAATCACGTTGCAATTATTTTGTTTTTGTGATACATGTCTCAGTTTTAGTGGGAATTATAAGTTTTGCTTTTCTTTTCCACTGGAACAAATTTTTTGCTGCATCCTTTACCTTGAGAACATAGTCTGTAGGCCATCTCTGTAGGCCCACAGTACTTTATGTATAATAGTATGTTATCACACATTTTACTTTTTCCAAATAAATGCAGCTCCTCTGATCTGCATATTGAACTTGGCCATAGTACAGTTTCAATACTATTTTGATTAGTTGTTCAGCTTTACTGGACTTCAGAGAAATATCTTTAAAGTTTTTGGTTTTCTTATATAAATATCTGTGGCTTGGAATTAATTATCTTTTGTCTGTCCCTATTTACAGATATCAGTCTTACTTTACTGCTATTGATCAGTTTTATCTATACCGGAGTTGTGTAAATTTACTCATAATATGAACCTTTTCAGCTGTTGCAACGTAATACTAAAAGCTTTCCACAGTGAAACTGGCTGGATGTTTTTATTTTGAAGAAGTTAAAGCAAATGTGATGTGCTTATTATTGCATTCAGTGTAGTGGTTCAGGTAAACTGCTTTGCCTTTTTCCTGAAGCTCCAGCAATTATCACCTTGCAGTTAGCCAGCATGCATGGCTTCACTGATCTTGGCTTTTCATGGCAAGACTCCACACCATTAATCCCCTCACAGCAGAAAAACTACAAATTTTCAGAATAATTCTGAAATGTGATTTTTTGGTAACCCATTTTACTACAGCGGTTTTTGTCAGATCAGGGTGCAGTACTGTTAAACAGCTAAAAGACAGTGAGATAGTTGTGGCATTAGGATGTTTTGAACAGCTTGGCATACCTCTGCTTTAGTGGTGCAACATGTTTCCAGACGCAGTGTTTTTGCATGATGTGTGATGTTGGTTGGCAAGCTGTCATTGTGCCTCATTTGGCTTATTTGGATTCAGAGGATTTCTGTAAAAAGTTTAGGTTAGTAACAATTCATGTTAACAACAATTAAAAGAAAACTATTTACTGATTTGTTGACTACTAATTAAAGGCAGTTTTCTTTGCTGTTCACAAGTGCCCAGTGTAATGTCACATGGACCTCAGCAATTGTACACCCTAATTTAACCTAATTCCAGGTGACCCCGAGACTGATTAGGAGATCCTATCTGTCATATTTTTTCGCAGTTCAGTGATAGAGAAATTAACGTGAGCAAATACACGCTTACAAATTATCAAAACACACAAAGAATACATCAAGAACAAACAAAGTTTACATTATAATAAAGTTGTGTTATGATTCAAAATACTGTGTTGGCTGCAAACACTTACAGTCAAATCTTTACCTCTAATGAAAATAAGGCTTCATTCCAGGTAAAATAGGAACAGTACCCTAGTTTAAACAATGAAAAATGTTAGGTTTGGAATTCGAGCCAATTACAGTAGATTCACTAACAGTAACTGGTTTTCAGCATCTGTGTAAACTTACCAAGCTACTCGTGTGGCACCATGCTGTCCGTCTGTATGCTCAGTATGTTCTGAGGGCTCACTTTCTTGCCCAACATTCATTTCAATCCTCATTCGCTACCTTTTTAGTATGCGTTCAACGCACTCCTTTCTTACCCTTGTATTGATCCGGAAACAAAGAAGTCTTTCGTGGTCAAAGGCAAATTTTTAAGCTCATGCGATTTTTTTACATCTTCATATGCCCCCCACATAACACTTAAAATACTGACATGAAGAACTTTGGTAGTACACTTTCTTTATGGTTGTTTCTTAGAAAACGCCATTTGAAGAAAAGTTAGTTCTTATGTTGAATGCATGTAGAAGGGCTTGTATAGTGGCATTAACTGAACTCTACTTGTCCTGTAAATGCACTGACTTGAAAAAAAAAAAAATGAGTTCACTGTTTACCCAATGATCTCAAGGAGTGAGAGATGGCATGCTAAAATATGTATGTGTGTGTGTGTAAAACTGGTTGGGGTGGTGGGTAGGAGCTTGCCTGGAGGAGCCTCAGGATGGAGGCCTCAGATCTACTTACCACTGCTGCACAACATAAAAGGAAGTTATTACTGTGCTGAAAGCGTAGAATTTCAATGAAAGCAGAAACAAAGACAAATGTTAAAGAATTCATTATAATATCATTTAGTAGATCAAAAGATTGGGGTGAGGCTTCAGATGCTTCTCAGTTATGGAGTTACAGGGGTTTGAATAATCAGTGTTCATATGAGTGTACTGTGTGACTGGTGTCATGTTTGATGTCTTTTGTTATTAAACTGTACCTCTATGAACCTATGCATAACTGTCAAGACATGGCTGGGATAGGGGTGAGGGGCTTAAGAGATATTGCAGGATGATGAAAAATGTGGAGCACAACTAAAGCTAAATGAATCTATTTCATAGTGAAACAATAAACAAGAGTGCTTTCAAACTAGAAATACAATTGTGAAGTGAGAGGGGCCAATGCTTCCGGAGATGTTTTCCCCCACGTATGTGTTCCTAGTTTAAATTCATCTTTAACTGATGGCACATGACTCTCCCTGATGCTGTAGATTTATAGTATGACCACCAGTGTAATAGTTTACAGTCCCTCTACGGTTGTTGATTTAACCCCTAAAAACTCATCTCTGTATAAAGTTGTGTGTTTAGAATTTTTATTCCCCATGAAAGTAATCCTTTTTTGTTTTAAAATAGCTATAGTATAACTATTTTCCTTTGCTTCCTCTAGAATGTACAGATCTACATAGTCCCTGTCTCTCTGGCCACTCACCCCTGCTCACTCACTGCTGCTCAAGCTCACCTGCTCACCTATGATTCTGCTCAAACGCACTAAAACTACTGTATGCCACACAATGGGAAGTTGAAATGTTAGAGTTATTCAGCCATGTGTGTTTGAAACAGAGTGATTCTGCAGAACAATAGTACAAAGAGCCCCGCCCTGATCTTTTACACATGAAACTGTGGAAGTCTGAATCTGTGTTTCTGAGTCTGTCATCAGTCACGTTACAGTTTCAAGCTGGAAATGCTCAGCCATGGTGTTTACTACTTATATCACTCATGAAATGTCTTCTGGCATATAAACAACACCATATGGACATGTTAACTTCCGCAGGAGGTGTTGAATTATTTCAATGTAAATTCAGAGACGTAGGTTTATTCAGTCAGTTTGGCGAGTCTGATGGCTCTAAATACAGTACTGCAATGCCCATGTCTTTGTTGTTGCCATTGGGAAGATCAGGGCTAATTAATTATTACATTTTTAAATCAAAAATCATGATTTGATTAAATGCAAATAGTTGTATCAATGGCTTTACAAATTCATGCAGTCGTCCTTGTGTGACGCTTTGATGGTATCCCATGTGGTGAGGCTACATCGTGTTTTTTATCTGTTACAGTGTGAATATTAAAATTAAGCTTGACTTTAAAAAATGATATTGCAAATCAAATTGCAAATATCTGTCAAAAAAGTAATTAGATATTTTTCATAAATCGTTCAGCCCTAGTGAAGATGCTGGTCAGAGGTACAAAGCCAAGCTGTTTGTATTCAAAATAGTGGTGGAAATCACTTTGCCTATTTGAATCACTTTGTTCAGTTCAGTGCAAACGTTCATAGTCGGGCGCCCCTGTAGCTCACCTGAATGAGCAGGCGACCCATGAACAGGGGCTATAGTTCCCCGGCACAGTGTTTGTGAGTTCAATTCCCGCTCACGACAGTTTGC